AATATTTGCCATTTTTAGATGAAGAAAAGCAAATATATATATTTACTGAAATAACTGGCAATTATCAAAATTTTGAAATTTCAGTTGCAAACTTGTTACTTTTTTATGAAAACAATGAAGAAAAATTAAGCAACTGTTTTAATTTAACATTGTTCCAGCAAATTTATTCCAAAAATGGAATCGAGCAAATGATATTTTTTGCTGCAAATACAATTTGTTGCAATAACACTTCTATCAATTTTTACAATCTCCTTGAAATTGAAGAAATGAATCCATTTGATTTTTTTTATTTCTCAATTCAATATAAAGAGATATTAAATTGCGATGATTTTCCAAAAGTTACAGAAGTAATCACAGGTTTAATCTCAGCTTCAAATATTAATGCTATTATGCGAATTTGCCAAAAAATTTTGGATAAAATTACATTTTATAAATGTAATTATTGCCATATTACCTCAATATGGAATTTTATCACAAATGCAACAATAATTCTTCCTGATGAAGATTTATTAATCAAATTAATAAAATTCATAGATAAAACAGAAAAAGCAACAGATGAATTATTCGAACCGGAGAATGATTTGGGTTTCTATGAATATTTAAATTCGATTTTCTCAGATATTACAAGTAGTAGGATAGGAAGGGTTGTGTGACTTTTTTTGTTACATCTATATATAGATGAAGGTATGTTTTCCCAGCCTCTATATATAGATGATATAAAATTTTTTCTTACGTTTTTTAAGTCATGAATTCGTAAGAAAGCGCGACATTATTAAATAAATTAGTAATAAATATTATACACTCAACCCATACATAATGAAATAAAAAATAAAAAAATTTTTAAAAAATAAACTTTAAAAAGAATTTGATGAGTTCAACATTGAACTTTAAGAAGCTAATTATTATTTGAATTTATGATATCAATTATTTGATTCATTCTTTCTTCAATCTCTTCTATTCTTTTTGTTAAATCATCAATTTTCATTAATGAGGTGATTCTTGATTGAGGAATAGATTTCAAACTAACCACCCCTTTTATTTTTGAAATTTTGAATCCATCAACTTTAAACATTTTATTCAATTTACACGTTAGGGATAAGAAAACATTTAGGAGATTATGGTAAATGTTCTGAATTCTTCAAATCTAGTATATACGAGAGAGTAAAAGAAATTAGAAATAATTATTTTCATGAATAAAAAATAAACTTTAAAAATTCATGTCTTACGAAAAATTATTTTTTATTTTGTATGAAATGAGCGTCAAAACTAACAACGTTAAAAAATTAGGATTCACAAACGAGGAAATAAAGGATATATTAGAGGAGGCGGGTTATGAGGTTGATAAATATTATTTAAGAAATTGTCAAAAATTCGCGGAGTTTTTAAATGAGTTTGATTATGATGGAAAAATGAATAAAGATGATGTTATAAATTTCTTATATCCCACATCTAAAGAAGAAAAACCTAAAGAACCTGATGTTTTCCCTGAATATTATGAAGAACGGATTAAAGATGATGAATACAATGAAATTGAAAGACTGGAAAAAATAAGAGATGAAATAGATGAAAAAATTAAGGAATTAAGAGAAGTTGAAAAATATAATGAAAATGAAGTAGAGGGTTTAATGAATATCCCAGCTTCAGAATCAGCAGTTCAGAAATCTCATGAAGAAAGATATAAAAATTATGTCTCAGAATCAATACAAAATTTATTAGATGGCGAAATAGATGAAACACTTTCAGAAGAAGGTACTAAATTTATACGTAAACATAAGTTACAATTTATTGATAATGAAAAATACCCTTGTATCTTACTTTCACCCCCTCTCGATTCTGAGAAATTCAAAAAAGCTCTTAAAAACGTGACATATGCAACTAATACGATTAAGAAAGAAGATCATGATATTTACACAAATTATTATTTAAATAAATGCACGGGTGTTGATAAAGTTTTTGATTTATTAGATAAAATATCAAAAGAAACCATTGGAACCTATAAAATTTTGTGTGATTGTGGTTTCATTATTGAAGATACCAATAATGTTTCATATGAAAGAACAGCACCGAAGGAAGATGAAGTGGAAAGGTCTATACCATTCGTTATTAAGAATATAAAAGATATGAAAACTTATAAACATTATATTTATTCATTTATTTCAGAAAAAATGGAAGCAACCCATAAAACATCTTCTCATCATTTTATAGCTATTCATACATTCCTTTTCAAAGTTGTGAAATTAAATAAGACAGGAATTAGATTTAATGTATCAGGGTACGCATTCTTGAGTAAATTAAAATGTATTCGTCACGTCGCAGATGATAAAAATTTATGTGTTCTTAATTCATTTTATGGGCTTTAAAAAATAAACTTTATTTTTATTTATTTTTTAATTTTTTATTCTTACATAAATGAACAAAAACGGAACAGCTAAAATGAATGATAATCAAATTAGAGCAGAAGGTAGAAGGTTATTTAAACGCTTCTATAACATTCCTGATGGTGTTAATCCTAAAACTCGTAGAAGCTATTTAAATGAAGCAATAGATGCATATGAAGGGTTTTACATTTCATCAGAAAGTGAGAGATTAGCGAGAATGTTAAATGTTAATATTGATTTCTATTATTGTGATCCTCAACCAGAAGACGTGGACATAAATAAGGTAGACTTTCCATTAGTGGATTCAATAATGATAGATCCAGAATTTGAAACAATAAATATTTTATTAACACAGAGTCCATGTGGAAAACTTCACGCTGACAGAATAACAGACGTTGAAGCACTCACCGGCTATAAAGTTTGTCCATATTGTAAAGAAGAAGTTTATTCTATCCGTGATGATCCAGAAAGGAAAAACCAAAGAAGATTTTTAAAGCATTGTGAGAAATGTAAAGAAAATAATGGGAGATTAATTCAAGACGTTCAGTTGCAAAAGACACAGCAACCATATGCACCACATATTACGAAACAGAAGATATATCAGTGGTTATTAGCTCACAATTTGCAGAAATATTATAAACCAACAAGATATTATATTACTTTTGACTTCGAAACATTAGAGACTAAAGAAGAATTACAACTTTCTGAGTGTGCAACTTTGAACGCTTACTTAAAACCATTCATGGTATCATCAACGGTTAAATTAAATGATAAAACGTATACGAGGAATTTTTGCTTAACTTCGAGTGATTCTTTTATTTCTGATTGGATTGAGTTTTTATTTTCAACCTGTTCATTAGTTGCCAAATCAAATATTGAACAATATGAAGAATTAATGAAGTCGCAAACGGACAAAACGGCGGGGACTTTGTCTCATACATTAAATGAAAAACAGAAGGAAGCATTTAAAGAACTTCTAGATGAGGAATTCAATAAAGTGAATATCATAGGTTTTAATTCGGGAAAGTTTGATTTAAATTTAATTCTTCGTGATTTAAACACTGCAAAATGGAAAATAAAATCAATGCTGGGTTCATCTTCACAATTTAAGCAAATCATTGTAAAGAAAACAAACGTTCCATATGAATTGAGATTTATTGACATCAGAAATTATATAGCGGGTGGGACATTAGACCAATTCACTCAAGATTTCGGAAACAATAAATCACGTGTTAAATCCTTTTTCCCTTATCAATTCATCACATGGGAAAATTACGAAGAAGAATTATATAAAGTGGAACCATTCACTCAAGATTCATTTTATTCAGCATTAACTCAAGAAACTATATCAGATAGTGATTATCAAATATATCTCAATGATGCTAAAAACTTTAAGAATAGATTAGAATATTTTATTCATTATTGCAATAAAGATGTTGAAATTATGATTGACCCAATTGATAAAATTATTGAAGAAACATTTGTTTATAAAATTGACATGCTTCATAATCTTTCTTTATCATCGAATGCTTCAATGATTCGTTACGCTTTAGCATATAAAGACTTTAATCCTAATGAAAAATATCCTGAGGAAGAGATAGAATCAAGTTTTGAATTAACGAAAAAGTATTGGAAATATAAAATTGAATCATATAAGAAACAAGATGAAAAAGCAGAAAGAGATACTAAAAATAATGTTTCAATGGATGATTTCAATACTATCACGATTTAATCCTTTCATCTAAATGCAAAATGTGTGGTAAAGCGTTTACATATGCAAATAAACCAACATTAGATAGAATCGATAATGAAAAACCACATACCAAAGAAAATTGTCAGTTAATGTGTTGTTATTGCAATGTCGTAAAATCAAATAAAGATGAAGATGTTCAACGTTTAAGAATCAATTTAAGAAATTATGCATTAAAAAATAATTTACCAATGACTTTAGATTCAGTTGAAGCTTATCATATTCTCCGTAATGGAATTACTGGTGGTTTATCAAATGTTCAACATAGAGTAAATCTTAAAGGAATCACGCACATTAATAAACTTTCATATAGTCCAGAAACTAAAACTGTATCAAATGAGGACACCACCAACATCATGACTCATTTCGTTGGAGTTGACTTTAATTCATTATATCCTTCATCATTTTCATCTAATCCTCATGATTTCATTCAATATACTGACCATAAAATGTATATGCCGGGAAGATTGAATGGTGTTATCATTTGTGATACAGCAACAAAGAAAGCAAAAGCACTGGGAATAATTAAGAAGAAAAATACTTTATTCGTGGCTGAAGTAAAGGGTCACATTGATGAAAAATACATTAATGATTACATAAACTTTTTACCGATAATAAGAAACTTAGATATTATCACAGATGAAAAAACAATTGGCAGTTTTATGTATAATTACATGAAATCAAACAATCTACCAGTTGACCAGAAACAGAGGAAATTAACTCAGTTAGCATCAACACACAACCAATATCAACCATTTTCTTCTTATTATCTTTGGTATCTAATCGACAGATTTCATTTTATCATTGATGACATTCAATCAATTTTAACATTTACGAAAAATACTTGTTTTAATGAATTTGCGAACAAATTTATGAACGAAAGACAAAAGGCTGAATTAGAAGGAAATAAAGGAAAAAGTTTATTTTGCAAGATTTCACTTAATGGATCATATGGTTACGATGCAATGAATACACAAAATTACGCAAAGACTAAAATAATGAATGCACAGAAGGCACGCGTTGCATGTATGTCAAATAAGTTTAAAAACATAAGAGAAATAGGTGAAGATACGTATCAAGTGATGCTTAAAGATAGATTTTATAGATGTGATACATGTTTACAAGAGGCATTCTTCACTTTAGATAACGCAAAATACTGGTATTTGGTTTTCATTTATGATTTTATGTATAAATGCATGGATGTTAATCGTTTTCATTTCATTGAAGGTGATACTGATTCATCTTATTGGGCTATTGCTGGCGATCCAAGTCTTCCTAACACTCAAGCATTTCAGGCGATTGTAACCGATAAACAATTTTATGATAAAAACATTTTCAAATTCGCACCTTTTGATTTCTTCTGTTTTGATGAGAAATTTAAACCTAAATTAAAGAATAAAGCTGAAGAAAAAGCACATGAGAAGAAGTTATTGGGTTTAGCAATTGAGAAACAAGGTGATAACATGGTTGCTTTATGCCCTAAGTGTTATACTTCATTCAACGGTTCAATTGATGGGGGTGATTTTAAAAAGATTGCACAGAAAATGAAAGGTGTTAGTTTACGACAAAATAAGCAATTAACACCTAAAAAATATTTGGATATAATAAATGATAAAGTTATTTTCGATGGTCAGAATATTAATTTACAACTTAAAAACGGGTCAATGACTCGCTTAACAATTGGTAAGACTGCATTAACAGGAGCACACACTAAGGCTGTATGTTGTGAAAATGGATGTTGTATGCCATTTATTTAATACAATTTAAAATTTTATTTTTAATGAAATGCCACAGAAGAGACAAAAGGAACCGTTAATGATGGCTTTGATACTATGATTCAAAGAGGCGGGCACCCTTAAAACACTTATTTTATTTTTATATAAATGAATAGCGTAGATTTAAAAAATTTAATTGATGATTTAGTACTTAATCAAAATTTTCTTAATTATTATGAATTAAAATCATATCTCCAAAAATATGATAACAATATAACGGGTGATGATATGGATTATTATTATCCATATTATAAAAATGAAATTTTGAAATATCATAATAAAATAATTTCTGAAATTAAAGACAAAATTAAAAATAATGAATATTCAAAGGGAAAAACTAAATCACAACTTAAACAATTGAAAGATTTCAAAAATAAAGTATTAACAGAAGAAGATATTGATGAATTATATAATTTATATAATCCTGAGCCGCAAAAGCCAAAGGAACAAAAGCCAAAAGTGCAAAACACCCAGGTCCTTCAGACCATAAATGAAGCACAAGCTTTAATTTATGATTCATTAGTTAAACCATATTCAGCCCGACTTTTAAATGAAGATCAACTTTTGGAATTCATCCTTCAACATAAACTCGAAGCGGGAAAGTATATCAAACCTTTATATACAGCATATTTAAAACAAATGAATAGAATACATCCAGAATTAATGAAAGGAAAATCAACAACTAAAACTTCATCATCCAAAATCAAAGCAGATAAAATTAAACCACTTGCAACACCAAAACCTCCAACGACAGTACCGCCTCCTCCTTCAGTTAATCCTTCATCATTCACTTTATTATATCCATTTCAAACATTAAAGAAGCAAAAAGATTTTAAAAAGGATTTCAAGATATTAAATAAACCAATTGACCCAAAAATTCAACCATTAAAGGAAAAATTTAGTCGCCCTTCATTTGCACCATATCCATATTCATACGAAATCGATCATCTGGAATATTCAAAAGGAAACGTTACTTATTTATTTGCCATTAACATTAACACTAGATATTTATATTGCATTCCAGTGAAAGGGAAAACAGAACAGGAAACAAGAAGAGCTATTCAATACTTACTAGATCATGAAAGAGTAGATAATATCAGGGGTGATGGCGATAAAGGATTTCAGGCAACTATGACTCATTATTTCCCACAAATTAATTTTTTCTTTTCATCCTCTCCATATACGTTTCATAATAAAATAGTTGATGCGGTAATGAGAACTCTTAGAGATGCGTTAGGGGTTAACGGTCAGATATACTGGGATGGAAATCATGACTCCATCATACAGCAGTTAGTATATTATTACAATAATACATGGCATAGAACAATAAACATGAAACCAGTGGAAATGAAAAATGATATTTCAAAAGAATGGGAATATATTAGAAAGCAAATGGAAAGGTTGAATGATGTTAAACGTGAACAAATTAATTCAGGGCTCATGAATTTTAAACAAGGGGATAAAGTTTTGATTCATCTCGATTATGGAAAAACTGATAAATCAATGACAAAAAGAAGACGAAGATTTGACACAATAGCTGAATTTGTTAGATATATTAACGGCAATGCATTAGTTGAAGTTGACAATAAATTAATAGAAATTCCAATTTATTTTATTACTCCATTATATTTAAATAATATTTAATTTTTTTTATTTCGTAAGAAATGAGTGACAACAAAGCAGCCAAGAGTCCAGACGATGAATATAAAAAGAAACTAAACAGAATTAAATCAAAAATATGCTATTACAAAAAGAAGCCGCAATGTGGTGGGGTTGAAAACGATAAAGAAATAATCGAAAAATTAGAAACTTATCGTTCAATCATTAAACTGAGTGAAGCAAAAATAAAAGAATTTAATAGAATAAATAAATTGGTTGGAAGAGATGAATTTAATAAAGATGAATTTTTAAACTCAATCCAAATTTAATTTTTTCAGTGCTACCATGTTACCATGTGCTACCAGGTCATTTAACTTCTTTTAAAAATGATGACAACATGACATTTTGACAACAACATAGGAAATATGATGCAGTCCAAAAATAACGTTAGTTTTATTTTTTCAACTTTTTATTTTGTATGTAAGAACAGAAATGTCAGTCGAAGCAAAAACATTCACGAACAAATCTAATGGTGAAACATTCACAAAAGGCACTTATAATGGTATTGAAGTCTTACGTAGAGACAAGGATGGTTACATTAATGCAACAAATATGTGCCAACAGTTTAGGAAAGACTTTAGAAAGTTGTTGGAAAATAAGTCCTGGGAAGAGTATTATAAGGCATTTTGTGAAGAATATAGCAACCGTCTGAATTCCGGCGGTTGCTTTTTATACAAAATTCATGCAGGAATTCCTGATGAAATCAAACAGGTTAGAGGAACGTATGTAGACCCAAGACTTATAAACTATATAGCAATGTGGGCTTCTCCAAAATATTGCATAGCAGTTGGAAAAATTATGGACTCCATAGACAAGAAAGTTCATGAGAAATTAGATGAAGAAGAACTCGAAGATACAGTAGAGAATGCAAAACATTTGTTTGAAGAAGAAGTTAGAAAAATGTGCAAAAAACAATTAGAACATGAACGTGAGATATATTATGGTTATAGAGATTCTCCATACGAACTAGACCAATGGGAACAAGAAGATTTAAAGAGAGAATTTAGAGAATATGAACTCGCTAAGATAGCATTAGAAACTGCAGAAAAGAAGTTAAAAGTTTGGGGTCGTTTTGTAAAAAATATTGTGAGTAAATGAACCATTTATTTTTGTCATAAACGACCAAAAATATATTTTATCGTTAATGGTTTCAGGTTATTCAATAATTAATTATTTTTGAAGAACTGAAGGTGCTACCATGTTACCATGTGCTACCAGGTCATTTAACTTCTTTTAAAAATGATGACAACATGACATTTTGACAACAACATAGGAAATATATTTTATCGTTAATGTTTACGTTAATGGTTTCAGGTTATTCAATAATTAATTATTTTTGAAGAACTGAAGGTGCTACCATGTTACCATGTGCTACCAGGTCATTTAACTTCTTTTAAAAATGATGACAACATGACATTTTGACAACAACACAGGAAATATGATGCAGTCCAAAAATAAAGTTAGTTTTAAAATTATTTTTATTTTTTTATTCCTATATAAATGACAGCAACAAACAACAGCAACTATATCGTTTCTGATGAAAAAGTTATTGATTCATTAGCTGAGGAATTAGTTGTGGTAGAAACTAAAACCCTCAACGAAAGAATTGGTGAAAACAAGATTGATTTACACAACTACCTCAAACATGATGGAGGAAGAGGAAGGAAAACTGGTATGGCTTTATTAGTAAATAAAATATCAAATTTAACGATTATAGATGTCGATATCAATAAATCATACAATGATGAACTTAAAGAAACAGTTGGAAAAGATATTTTATCAAAACTTTCGGATAAAGATGTTATCGTTAAAACCGCTTCAGGAGGTCTTCACATTTATTGCAACACTAATTTCTTCTATGCAGTTTCGAACAGAATGATTAAATGTTATTCCTGCAATGATTATGATATTGATATCATGACTTCTATGGATGATTCAAAGCGTTCTTTAGTGGTTATGGCTGATTCAAGAGTTCGAAAGAATGCAACAGAACTAATCAATACATACTCATTCATTCGTGGAAGTTATGATTCAACATTAACTAGAACAGTGAATGATATATTAAATGATTTGAATATTAAGGTAAGAGTTGAACAGAAGAACGAAGAAATAAAGACTATTATGAATGAAAACAAAGATGTAAACATTGACGATAAACTTGCCCAGAGCATAGTTGATGGCATCTGTGATTTTGAAGTACATAATGACGGTGGAAACATGAATTTAGAAAAAGAAGTTACATTATTCACACTGTTTCAAGCAATTAATTCGTTACCTAATCATTTGATTAATGAAGCATACGATAACGTTTATAACTTCTGCAATTTAACTGAAAATGCAAAAAGTAATTTTGAAAAAGCACGTAGTAGATATGCACATTTAATGACTTCTCCATTTGTTTTGGTAAAGATTCTAAAACTATATCAAAAGGAATATTATGATGAATATGTTTTGCCTTTATTACGTAAGCCAAAAATAACATTTGATATCAAACTTGATGACTCGTTTTTGATAACAGATATTAGACGCAAGGCTGAAAATCATCAGTATAAAAACAGTTCTGAAGTAATTGAGGATTTATCACGTGTAATCCGTTTTGTAGATTGTGGAAATAAATATTTCATTCAAAAGGACTATAATATCCACGACAAAATGAATCAAATATCATTCGTTCTTCAATCAAACATGAAAGAGTCACTCAAAATGATTAAATTATTTAAAGAAGAAGGTAAAACCATAACAGCATGGGACGTACTACTAAATCAATTGTCTTCATTAACCGTTAAGTGTGTTTGCTTTAAATCTGATTCTCCAGATGTTTTCTCAACGTTTCAGGGTTATAAATACAACGTTCTCGAAAAACCAGATTACTCAAAAATTGAGATGTTTATGAATTTCATTAAAGAAGCCATTTGTGATAATAACGATGAAGTGTATAAATACCTTCTCAGCTGGATTGCATCAATGATTCAACATCCTGGAATTAAGAATGAAACAGCAATTATTTTGAAAGGACTTCAGGGAACAGGTAAAAACAGATTTACAGACATTATTTCTGAACTTCTCGCCGGTTATTCATGTAAAAACATTACCGAAATAGGTGAGCTAACGGGTAATTTCAATTCAGTAGTTGAGAATAAAATGTTTCTTGTACTTAATGAACTCAAGAATGTAGGTGAAGACAGACTTGCAAACTTCAACGCTTTGAAATCAATTATAACGGATAATGAGATAAGAATTAATGAAAAGAATCAACCCAGAAGAACTGCTCAGAATGTTGCCAATTTCATTTTCGTAACTAATAACGTCTACCCTGTCAAAAT